ATACTTGCCAGTGTTGCTGAGTTACAGCTTTCTTTTTGTGCCAGGCAGAACGATGCACAAAGAATGGAAGGGATCTCAAGCTATCTTCACAATTTGAGTGTTCCAGATCATCCTTCTCCTATAGCAACACCATGAAGTGTGACAGTGTTTTATATATAATTAGTAACAAGAGCTTAAACAATGATCCTGCTAGATGCAGCATTATCTAAACTCCACAAATTTGGTCATGAAACAAGGGATTAAGTGGACTCAAGTACCTCCAAGAGATTCCCACACTGTAAGTCATGGCCAAAGCAGGAAGTTGCTTCCTGAGTCATAGTCACACCAAAGTGATGCAATGTCTGCTACTAAGGGCTCCCTTTATGTTGAACTGTTTTCCCTTATCATAACACAGTAGGTAATATCATCTATGAAACCAATCTTCTGCAGCTATTTTATTTCAAGACCTGCCATTGTTAGATTAGCATGGAAAATCTGCAGTAATACATAATATCATGAACAATTAAGCAAAGAAACACTTTGACCATAATTCAGCTCTATTTTACATAGAGTATGGTGCCATGATCATCTTAGAATGAGGAGCAATGATGAAAACAAGACTATTTTTAACATATGTCTACATGATTAAGAAGTAAAAACTTCAGTTACTCATTTGAGATGTACCTCTGCTAATTGAACCTGCACTACCGACAGTTTTCACAAGAAGTTCTGCAAACACAGAAGAACTTAATAATATATAATATGTGTCCTTCACTGGATTATTGCCACTTGAACTTGAAAAATAAAAAGCAAGCAAATAGAAGAGGTATATGGTGCAAAATTCAAGTTCATCTCTGGCTACAGCTGAGAACAAATCTCATTAATGATGCTGAAATGTGGGCTGTGGAGGACAAAGGGTTGAAGGAAAAATGTTTTGGCAAATAAAAAAAATCTAGAATGAGGCAAAGAGAATGCAGGAAGAGATTTACTTGCAAATTCAAGGGGACTATCAAGATAAAGTCTTGTAACACCCTCTGCCTTCACTAGGGAATTCTGTATAAATTTCTATATATAAAGCTTCCATAGCAACATAAATCTATCATTAGACATTTTTGCTACATGTAACACTCTAAATAGCCTGATTAAAAGACAACTAAATCACAAAAACACACGGAATTGGGGAAAATAAGGAATCAAGATATACAACTCCCTCCATTGTGGAGGGTAAGCATGCTGCAGTGTGGTTGCATAACCATCTATGAAAGCAGAATTTGACCTCAACTAATAAAATCCCTATTGTTATAATAAACTAGCAAGGAGAGACATGAAAGTTATTGGAACATCCAGTATTATAAGCAGTATACAAAGACGACAAATGCTATGTACAATACTGCACAGTAAGAAGGCAGCAACTGCAGAGAAAAAAAGTGAGGCATCACTTTTCCTTTTCAATCCCATTTTCAGTTATTCAATCTTTCCTCAAAGAGATCCTTCTGACAATGCATTTTCTTCACTTTGGTCTGAAACTCAGAAAGTTATCTCTTGCATTAACATTTGACTACATTACAGTTATTTGAGCAGGGACAAGAGAGGGAACAGGAAGAGACCTGTGCCATTACAAAATGAGCCCAAAGCTCTTCCTGTTCATGGGGAACACAAGCAACAAGGAAAAGGTATTTCATTTAATGCTGTTAAAAGCAAGACTTGAGTTCTATAAAGCCAGTATCAAAATTAGCACTGAAGTTTTTGGTCAGGTGCAAGCCAAGCTAGTCTGAAAGGAGAAATCCTAAAGTCTGTAAATAAATTAATCTAGACAATTTCTCTGACTAAGCAGATGCAAAACCTCCAAAAACAAAGATTCTGGAGTCATGTAATTTATGACTCTTCCTTTCTTGTAACTCATGCCAAATACAGGTTGTAGTATCTATCATGAACATGAAGATGAGAATATTCCTTTCCTCTTTGCCACACTCTTTGATAAGAAATCCATGTCTGTTGGGTATTTCTTCAAAGGCTTCTCTTCTTTAAGCAATAGAAGACCACAAGTTAATATTAATCAAATTATAAAACATTGAGATTCGTTATCTCAATCATATTCCTGAACCAGTGGCAATGAATGCATTAATACAGTAAGAATACGACCTGAAGCATTGCAAGCAATTCAGTATCCAATAGTATCCATCAAAGCAAAAGTACCGGAAAGGGTTTAAAATCCACTAGGTTCTAGTGAACTTTCACTGCAAGCATTATATAATCACAGAATTATTCTGGCTGGAAGGGACCTTGTGATGTCTCTATTCAAACCTCCTGCTCTAAGCATGTTTAACATCAAACTCAGATTAAGTCTGCTCAGAGTTTTTTGCCCAACTGGGTTTTAAAAACATCCAGGTATGGAGATTTCACAGTGAAGAGTTCATGGTCTCATCAACAGGACTCAAACTGAGCAAAGTAGAGATATTTGACACAATAAATTTACCCACTAAGTTTTGCAGTACATAATAGTCCAATTAACTTCCTTCTAGCACATTAGTGCCTTTGATTTATTTGTTCTCTTTGCACTTCCAGGACACAACCATGTTCTTAGCACCTTTTTACAGGTATAGAATTAAGGATCAGAAAAATTGTCATTGAAGTGAAAGTTAGGTACCTAAACAATTTTAAAATCCTGTGCTAAGTATTTTGTTCAACATTGCAGAGAAAGCAATTGGAAAAGAGTAAAACTGAGCCTTGTTTTTCTGTAGATAGCTGAAGTAGATCACTCCAGTGAATGAAAGACTAACCTCATCCTTTCTCCTTCTTCACATCAGAAAGATATGGCATGAAAACACTGAGTTGAATATATTCAAGATATTCAATTCAAGGTCTCATTTCATATCACAATCTAATCTCCTACAGAAACTCTTCCTGTTCACCATTCTGTTACTTAGTAAACAAAGTTACCTGTGGTAAATCTTTCAGTGCTGCAAGTGCAAAAGATCCTTAGGAAATTTTAGGCTATTGTAGCATACAAAGTAAGAGGAAAAAAAATTCCTTAGCAGACCTCACTGAAAAAAAGAGCAACTTTTTTTTATTCAAAAATTGCCATTTCTTTTTGGCATTTTTTGTTTACTGGCTGGAAAAAGGACTCACTTGTCATGAAAGTATCTAAAAAAGAGTGGTTACACAAACCAACAGAGAGGAAGAAAAGGGGCAAAAATCCCTCTGGAAGGTAATAGCAGCTGTAGTATAGATATGCATATGCCCTCTCCTGAAGAAACTAAATTGAGTTCAGTTTTCCCAACCCCTGCAAAATAATGTGTGATTAATACACAGATACAAATACACTGAAGAGAAGGGAGAAAGCTAACTTCAGGTTCTACTGATGATATTTAGAGAAACTGTCAAAAGTGAATTGCAAGAACATTTTACAGTCTTTAATATTTTCAAAATTTTAAAGTTAGTTTCAGAACTTTGACCAAAGCTTTTCCCTTTCCACCTCATTTTAGAATGTCTCCAAATTTCTGTGGTTCTTTTTTCACACAGTTACAGACACAGTTAGACAAACTCAAAAGCATAACCTCCTGGTCCTCATCTCCTGACCCAAACAAGGAATCTGTTGCCTGAATCATCTCAAAGGTTCGGCACACACATTAAATTACTTTGTATGCATTCTCCATTTTGGCGTATAAGAAAACAAACAAACAAACAAAAGACCAGATGATGAGTTGGTACAAGGCAGACAAGTCATCTGAATTGAGAAAAACTTGCTGATTGATACCAGCTGACAATCTGTCCCAACACGTTACCCAAGAGGATTTGCTTTACAAACAACCCACTTGCTCTGCCAGGAATAAACACAGTTTCAAATGGATACACTGGGCTGCAGAGCCCTTAGATATTAAGATAAAAGTAAACATATTTCCATGCTTTTTCTGACAAGAAAACCATCACTGTGAAGGATTTAAGTATTTCATTCCCTTCTCTTTTGCACTACTTTTTCTAAGATTCATTTTTGAACACATCTGAATCAACCATAAGGAGAAAGAAGAAAAAGAGAATTTTATCAAGTCAACTTACTTTCAAGCAAGATCACAAAACCTTATGGAACTGGCTAGCTATGGCAATGACATCAACCATGTGAAAATATATACCCTGGATCTACAAAAAATAAAACCCAGAAACTTTGCAGCAGGTTAGGATTAATATCATCTGTGCTTTAATCCCATGACAATTTTCCATTGAAATCCATTCCTGAGTATGACACAGTGTTACAAAGCATCGTCTTATTCAGCCACTTTTTCCTGGATTCTCAAATTCTGAGAAACCCTTAAGCATTTTCCAGAAAGTTGTTAACTCTCAGTCTATCCCTTTGGATAGAAGTGGTTTTCAGACAATTGAAATGGTGTTGCTGTGAATAACTTCCCAAGAGAGACCAGTATCCACCTTCTCCAAGTTATCTTTTTGGGTTCATCTGTTGGTGATGGTTATTGCCCTTGCTAAATCAAATTACTCAAATTCCCATTAAACCATTCAGAATCCAAGAATTTATTATTAGAAAACAAAACTAAAATTATGTAGATTACAGTGATTTACATAGAACAGAGGATCTATGAGAATAACAAAGACTTAAAAGAACTAACACTCCTTCAGCAAATACGCATAATACAATGGATTAGAAAGAATTTGCCACCATGAGCCCACAGATTGGCTAATGTTTTGATGATGAAAAGTGGAGCTCCAGTCATTTGTTGGACATGTTTGTGTTCCTATGAGCCTGTCTGCAGCTGGGAACACTGGGAAGGAGAAGAGGGGGAAGAATAGCTGTCCCACACTTGAGTGGTTCTTTTTCTTCTCAGCAGTGTTCACTTTCTACTCCTAAGAAACTGTCAGAAGTATCCCAGTAACTTCTTACTTGATCTTTTCCCACTTTGAAGAGTCAACAGACAGTTTGTGTCATCCTTGATTAGCAAATGCATTCTGCCCCTTTCCCATCTCCCAGCATCCCAATTTCCAGGTCAAAAAGTAATGTCCGGGTCACTCACCCCTAACATCTGATGCAAATAATAATACTGCAGCCCTTGATAATAGAGCAGGAAGGTTTTCCAGAAGAGCCATACATTGAGGGAGAGCCAGAAAAACTGAAAAGAAACAGAAACAAGAGAATGTAAGCGAAAGTTACGTGTGCAAACTTCCGTGTTAATTTCATTCATAAAACTCACAGGTCTGTAGTATATGTAAATGGAATGGGAAAACAAGCTTCAAGCACTTAGCATGAAGACACTTTAAAATATTAAAAGGAATAGCCTCCCCGTGTGAAATTCTTACTTTCCCCGAACTTCACAAAACTTTGTGTGTTAAGACAATCGAGAGCTGGCGGAGCCCCCGCACACAAGACGCTACCCCAAATCTTCAGTTGCATATTGCAGCTAAAATACTCACGGAAAAAAACACAGCAACAAAGAGACAAAGGAAGGAAGAACTTGACCTCCAAGAAGCTGCAACTTCTCCCTCAAACTTTCCCAAAGAGAGCCTAACAAAGAGCGCGCAACGTGTGCCGAGCCAGCCGGGCACGGACGCCCGGGCTGCCCCGGGCCGTGGCACCCGCGGGCACCCCTGACAGCCGCGCACCGGGACAAGCACGGAGCGCATCCCACCCACCGCCCGCCCGGGCACCGGCATCCCGCGGGCGCCCTGCCCCAGCCGAGCCCCACGGCGGGCGCGGCAGCACCTCCCGCAGCCCCGGACCCGCAGTGCCCGCCGAGCCGGTTGCTACTCGGGTCGGCCCCGCCGCCTGCAGCTGCCCCGCGGCCACTCCTGAGTCTCCTCCGCGGGGCAGCCCCGCTGAGGGGAACCCCCCCGGGGCCACCCTCACCAGAAAGAGGTGCTTGCTCCCCTCGTTGGCCAGCCAGCTCCTCCAGGACAGCGCCATGGTGCGGGACGCCCGTGGGGCAGCACCGACGGCTAGGGGGGCTCCGGGCGAGCGGGCGAACTCTCCTTTTCTGCCGGGCCGGGACGCCCTCCCCTCTCCCCACCCCTCACCCCCCGCCCTGTCTTCCGGCAGCCGGGGCGTTGCGCTCCGGCCCCGCTGCACCGCCCTCCAGCCCCCTGGCCCCGGCCCGGGCTGGCCGTGCTGCCCCTTTGTCCGTCCCGGGCGCTTCCCGGGCGCGGCGCTGCCCCGGCACTGCAGCGCAGCCGGACGGGAAGAGGGGCCTTGGCGAGGACCACCCCCGAAGAGCCTGCCCTGCCAAGGAACGGTGTGGCCGCTTCCTCGCATCCCCCCACCTTGGAAAGCGGGTTTTCCCCACGGAGAATCCCGTCCGTGGGGGTCCCCCTTGCCCCAACCCTCCCGGCATCCCCAGCCCGGCTGAAATATGATACAGAAAGCAGGAGGGAGTTAGGAAGCAGCCGTGCATGCAACTGCTCTGCAGTTCTGGTAAAACAAAGAGGTTGTCCAAGAAACTACTGTTCGGTCAGTACATGAGGCCCTCGAAAGCTGGAAAGGGGACGGGAGTCTGATCCTGCTCCATCAGGTGTCCCTGGAGCACACTGGAAGAGGCCAGCTCCTGTGTGCAGGCACAGCGGGTGTGCAATCGAGCTGCAGCCAGGAAAAAGAAGCTATGGGCACCTCTACATTCACAGTGTCTCGAATTCAGACTGATAGGCGTTGCAATAAGTCTGCACTTAATGGTGGTCTTCATGTTTGGTTTGGGTTTGGGTTTGTTTTTGTTTGTTTGTTTGTTTGTTATTTTAAGTCAAAGTTGCACCAGATACTGACTTTTATATTAAGAAAAAGCTTTAAAAAACTTGCTTGTTGCTAGCAGCTTTCAAACACAACACCCTGGTTAGTCACAGGTGAGCTCCACTTTAAACCAGGCATTGTGGTGCACACACTGCTCCTTGAGATAGCAGCAATGACAGCTGGCAGCAGAGCAAGGCTGGTTTTCTGGGAGATGCCAAGTCCAAGGAACAGTGATGAGAAGTCTCATCCATTCCAGGTTGAGCTGGCTGTCTTTCTCTTATGACAGAAAATTGACAATTTTTGTGCTCCTCGTGAGCCACATACTAAGGGTCCAGAGAAAAAAATGGAAGGAAGCAAAGTACAATCTTTCTCCAGTTCCGTATAAAGAGGAAGGAGTGTCTGACCCATACGTGGACCTGGCAGTAAAGAGTACAAGTGGGGCATGGCTCCTGTAAACTCAGTTGAGAGTAGTTTGGCTGCAGCAGGACTGCTGTATCAAACGAAGTGGCAGGATTTCTGTGGCTGTATGAAGTGCTAGGTGAAGTTTTGAAACAGCAGGGTAGAAGATTACAGCTATTTTATGTCATTAAATGACACTAAAAGGAGAGCTAGTGAAGGGTTAAATACATATTTTGCATTTAAGACTCAACAGAACCATAGTTTGATGCCAAAGCAGCACTAACAGCAACAGCAATAGTACAGTTTATTTATCTTGTTTGCTATTTCCATTCATATTCTTGTTCCAGTTGTAGTGCAAAGAAAATGAAAACTCCTTACAGAGAAACAGATGATGAAACTTCTGTAGATAAGCATGTCAAAGCTGGAATGACAGAAAATAAAACTTATAGGATATGTCAGACCTAATAACATGGGACCTCAGCCAAAGCTGAAGCTGCAACAAGCACAAACAAAACAAAAATAATTTGCCCATCCTATGTTTGCCCATTAGAAATGTCTCTGAAAAATCAGCTTGTGCAGGATTTGACTGCCCACTCATATGCAGCTGATGACTCATGAGCCAGCACTTAACTGCTCTGCTCACTTATGGAGTGCTAGAAGGCATGTGGAGTATATGACTCATGTTCCAGTCGACACTGGATCCTACATCATATCTAGGTACAGAGCAAAGAATGTGTTTTTGTAGAAAACATCCCTATTTTCTTTCTCCCTGGAAACAGCCAAGGACTTTGAATCATTATCCCAAGAAGAGTCTGGCAGAGACCAGTGCCATGCTAATGCATATACATTCTTCTTCCATAGAAAAGGATGAGTTTGCAAGTGCCTAAATCATGCCTTCCCTGGGATCTCTGGAAGTTCTCTGTCTTCGTTCTCTGTTTTAAACCATCCCAGATGTATATGAGCATGTGTTTCAAACTTCCTGGTAAGAGCACTCAGAAATGGCCACACATGCTAATTATAGTCCAAATAATTAAGAAAGGTATAATTTGACTCTCAAACATCATTTGAGCACCAGCTCATCTCTTCTCTGCTTTGTTAACATCTCTCCTCTCATTATGACAGTCCTTGTACTTTGTCCCACCAACTGGATGGAGCACTGTCAAGATAGGCAGCTCCTAGAGACTGAGCATATCGTTTCTCTGATAATGTCACTTCTACTGCGTCAGCAAAGTCACCCTGACTGCACAGTCACCTTCCAGGTCTACTTGCCATCAACATCCACTACACTGAGATCTACTCTCACAGAGCTTATTTAGGTACTCTACAGCACTTTGCTGAGTGATGTAGTTAAAATTACAGACCTAAAAAACATTAAAAAACTTAAAAGTTTTCTAATGCTAGAATTCTGCTTATCTACCTCAGAGTGATCCAGAGTCAAATCACATCTCCATCTGTCAGCATATCGTGACCATCCTGCAAGTTCTTGCAGTGACTGCCTGTGTTGTGAGCACAACACTGTGTCCTTCCAGTCTGGGGAGTGGTCCAGGCACCTCATCTTCTGCTCTGTTGCAATCTAGGTTTAGGCAGACGGGCCATTAATTTCTACATACATGCCTCAGGGGATTGGTCCAGTATGCCTTCTCAGAATATTTACCCTCAGTACTGAGATCATGGGAGGAGAAGAAGGAAATGTTGACTCTGACTTCATTACAGAGAACAGGAAAAGTGCAGATTCTGCATAATGGCTCAGTGATTAGAGCACTCGCCCAGTAGTGGGAGAGCTGGACTTTTTTCAAAGAGCTGAAGCCATTGCATTCACATCTCAGGGAAGTTTCCTAACCACTGCCTTTCACTGGGCTCAATGAAGGAAACAATCTCCAAGTGAGCCACTATGCAGCCAGGAGTGCAAGAGAGAGAGGTCAAAGAAAATCAGAAAGTGATGCTGGCCAAGTGGTAACAGCACAAAACTAAGGGAGAGGATCATCTAGGAAAAGGATATTTGGGATGCTAGTTTTTGTTTCCATTGGAAGGAAAAGATGGAACAAATATCAAAATTCATCATTTTTTGGAGAAAGCTACAATCACAGGAGAAATCAGAAACAGAAAAGTTTCCCCACAAATGAACTTGTATTTCTTGGAAACTTTCTCATTAAACTTAAGCTACATTTACCTTCATCATTTTTCCTATAACTGTAGCATGTAGTCACAATATAAGGGTAAAATAACAATCAAAGTGTATGTCACTCTGAAGATCTGTGCCGTATGAGTAATATCCTGTGCAATGGCATATGGCTTTTATGGCATTACATGCTGTATCATTTCTTTCCCTTTCTGAAACTGGATCTTTACATTTGCTGCATACCACATGATCATCTTGCTTTCTTATATGCTCCCTGATGGAGTCAGAGGCCTCCCTAGGGTGAAATGCTTCTCCAGACTTGGATGGCTGCCAAGTTTATTAATTTTGATGGAGCTGCAGTGATTCATGGTAATGCTTTATGTATTGCTGTCGCAATATCTAGGAGTACTAGGAATGGCCCAGGCTCACAATTTACCTTAACAGAAAGGTAAAATTTATATCCAAAGGCTACAAATGAAGAATTAGACAGTGACAGATGAACTTCTGATCCTCAGTTCTTGTAGATGCAGCAAAACGGACAGCAAGGCATGAGGCCAGTGGTAACATTAGCAGGCTGTGTTCTGCTTCCATTGAACTCTCTTGAACCAAGCCATGTAGCCACTGCTCAGCTCCATGTTACAAGTTCAAAAACTATGACAAAAGATCCTACAGTATTTTGTCCTCAAACAACCTCCTACACATTCCTGATTCAAAGAAAGATATCATGAAAACTCCAACACACGGCAACATCGTTCATCACAAAAGAATGCAAGCACATAGCACATGGGGAAAATGTGTATAATAAATACAGCTGGAGTGCATTCCATGACAATTTGAGAGAAATGTCAGTTATATTTATTTTTCCAACTGTTTGCAAGATTTTCTTGAACACTTCTTACAGAACGGAACCACAGATCTACAGATCATTAACACGCAGCATCCTGTAGCCTTTACAAATTTTTAGGTCCAGTCCACCTTTCACTGAATTTATGGGCCTTTCCTTGATTTTGGTGTGAGTGGGGACCAGGTCTGAGAATAGTACAGGGTTTAAAATGTATACTGAATTAATTTTAGAGGATAAAGGAATGGTTATATTCCCCCAAATTGGAATTCTAGAGATTCTCAAAAAATTATTCCTGTATTTGGCCAATCCACTCTGTTTGAGCAGCTCTTTGAAAAAAAATTAAGATTATTAGTCTTATTTTAAAACACTTGAAGACAGAAATAACACAACCTACCAAGCTAAATGATCCCTTAATTCATTGTTCATGGCTAAAACCATTTTGGAAGCACTGGCATTATCATGTATTTTGACATTCCACAGAAATTAATCTACCCTCAGAAATACCTTTTCTCTTCAGTTTCTTATCACCTGTTGTCAAGTCACCTTTTTGCCCTTTTCCTGATTAACAGAAAAGTGCATTTAGTTCTTAATTCTTAATTCTCTGGACTCCAACAAGTCAATGTCCTTTTTATGTTTGGGACCCCAGACCTTGACACAGTACTTCAGACAGGGTGTCACAAGAGCAAAGTAGAGGGGCAAAATCACCTCCCTTGACCTGCTGGCCATGCTGCTTTCAATGCAACCCAGGATACAGTTGAATTTCCGGGCTGTGAGCATGCATTGCTGAGTCACCTTGAGCTTCTCATCAACCAACACTCCCAAGTCCTTCTCCTCAGGGTTGATCTCAATCCATTCTCTTCCCAGGCTCTG